AGGCAGGTCGCGTCTGTTAAACTCACGTTGTTGCTCAAATTCGTGCCGGGGGATTCTGTCGAAGATGTCCCGCCGCGGCCTGACCGAAAGCATGCTGAGGAGTATCGTACCACCTTGTCTTGGCTCTCTCGGCAGGTGCCTCCTTCGCACGTTGATCCCAGCGGTGCTGGTCAGTGCGGCACTTCGAACCACTGGCTAACCCGTTGTCAACAGATTGGGGGCGCGCCCTTCGATGGGTCGCGCGATCTCTTGGGCGAGCTGCAGCAGGTGCTTGAAACGCCCCGCCGCGATGCTTGAAAGCCAGAAGACCTCGTGGAAGGCCCGGCTCCAGGGGGCTCTTTCCCCTTCGGCTGGCCCTGCCCGCCGCTTGCGGACACCTCCTTTGGGCCCTCTGGCGGCTTGGAACATCGGCGAGGATGGGCCCTTCCTGGCCCTCGACCAGCCTTTGGCATCTGGCGCCGCGGCCCGGATGGAAGGCCACCTGGCCGCAGCGAGACAAGGCTGAGTCGAGATCCGCGTTGGCTGCCCCGCGTGAGTGTGCTCGTCTGTCCCCGCGTCTGCCGCCCATTGATGACCTGGACGTGCTGAATCGCGCGCTAGAGACCACGCCTGACTCGCGCGGGCAGGGCGTGGATCGCATCAAACCCCGTCTACAGGGTCCAGCTTGAATAAGGAACGCTTGCTTTTTCAAACGGGGCTCGGTCGTTCTTTTGGTTTGCATTCGTTCCGCTACCTTTTTGGCGATGAGCCCCCCTGGTGTTCCTTCAGATTTTGGGTCCGTTTCTTCGGACTTCGTAGCCTTACTTGGAAAAACAGGGGATTCGTTCTTTACTTATCGTTCCTTAGGTCAGGCCGAATCCTGTAGTTAAAGAGGCCAGCGATGAGGCCGAGCTTCACTTCATACTCCAGCTTCTCGAAACCATTGAAGAGCGGGGCGCGCCGCCCTTCCAGCGGCTCTCTGCGCTGGCGGCCCTCATTTCCGGAGCCTGTCGGAGGAAGGAGTCAGGAGGGGGGAACAAATAGACACAACTAATCGTCGATCCCCAGGAAAATGCATGCGAACATATGGTATGTGGGGGGGAAGACGAACATCCAAAAGGTATGGGAAGATAGGGTGAATCGTGCTATTTGTGTGTATCTGTGTGTGTGTGTGCCCCTGGGCCCCTTTAACTAAGAGGCCCACTGCGCCGGTGGGCTTTGCCTATGCCCTGCCCTGGCGCGTCAGGGAGCCCTCTCTCGCGCCGTGGGGCCCTGAGGCGCGTGGGCCTCGGGGCCACGCCGCGCCCTCTCCGGCGGCTTCCGGGTCGGGGGCCTCTTGCCCCCTCCGGAAGAGTGCCCCGACCAGGTCTTGTCTGCAGGGCCTGGTCGATGCTGCCGTCGAGTTGGGGTACCCCCTCCGACTGGGGGCCCCGGCCACCGACGTGTATCTCGGAGTCCGTCACCTGTCGCTCGAGGGGGCTGTTCACCCTGGGAGCTTGGCGCGCGGAGGCGGTGAGGCTGCCTCGCTCGCGCGAGCCCGCCTCCGCCAGCCCCCCCAGAGGAGCCAGCTGTTCGGTCGGTGGCCTTGGGCTTCGGTAGTGGGTTGATGATGTCAAGGCACTTTTCTTCGGCGCGCAGATTTCATTCGTCGCCACCTTTCCGACCCTGCTTAGGGCCTTTCTCGCTGGCCTCAGGGGGTGGTGGTGTCAGTTGTCTCTCGAGAAGCCCCATCTGCTCGCTTCCTCGCCTGACTTGCCCTCGGCATTCCAGGGTCGCCTCCCAGGAGGGCTGCGAGAAATCTGGCTGCTCGCGATCTGGGGCACGACGCCGCCCTGGGTGTCTCGAGGGCGGTGGCCACCAGGAATGCCCGTTTTGCCCATGGGCGCGTCGCCACCAGCAGCAGGATTTTGGGAGCTGGTCGTGCCTGCAGGCGGGCGAGCAGGCCGTTTTTGCCTTCGTGCTTATGCCAAAATCATGTGGGCCCCCGCAGTTCATGGAGTTGCCTCTTCTGTGCTCGAAGGATTGCGGGCGAGGGCTGCGAGTAAGACCCCGCAGGAAGGAGCGTGTGCCACCACTGCCATCCGCTTGACACTCGGTGTCGGCCAGGACCCGCTCCAGGTGTATCTCCGTCGTGTCGTCAAATCGTGGTTCGCTCGCTTGGCTGGCCGCCCTGGGCTCCGGAGTCGTTTGGCCGGGCGCTGGGCGGCCTCTTTGGCCAAAGTCCGACGGGGGTTGGCCTGGGTCCGAGGTCCGATGGCTGCTTTCCAGGCCTTGGTCATGGCGGTTGGCTGGCGGTGCCCCCCCTTTTCGTCTTGATCTCCCCATGCGGAGTCGAGTGGCATGTGATGATGGACGGGCGTGGCCCGGTCGGTCCGTTGCTCGAAGCCTTCGATGAGTCCATCGATACGCTCCAGCGGCGCCGGGTTGCTGAGCGCATCGATGGTGGTGGGATCCAGGGGGCCGTTGGTGGCCTGGGACTTGGTGGCCTCCCTCGAGGAGGAAGGGCGTCGGGGCCTCGCGGCTATGATTCGGCTCTTGGTTTCTGGCGGTGATCAGGCCGAGGAGCGCAGGCGTCTTGCCCAGATGGCCCCTGACCAGCTCTGTCGCCCCTGTCAGCGAGATCCAGAACCTTCACTGCGCAATGCCACCTTTGACGCCCCTGGCATTGTTGAGACCCAGCGCCTGATGCATGGTGCCCTGCAGGAAGGCGCTTAGTATCCATGTTTCCTGGTTCCCCCTCCCTCCTGTTCCGAGCTCCAGGGGCCTCCAGGGACGTCGGTGCCCAGGGGGCTTGTCTCAAGGCTGCTTGCCAGGAGACGGCACGGGTTGCCAGTTTGCCAAGTTTCCTGTCCTTCGTTGGGTGGCCTTCGCCTTTGTGAGGCTCTGTCCAGGTGAGGGCTTTGATTGAGACTGTGGTGTCGCTTGTGTGCTCGACCCGGTTCGGCAAACGGTCCTGCGTGCAGAGCTTGCGGCCGTTGCCGAGTGTTTGCGTTGCGCTGGCCCCTCCCAAGATCTGCGCGTGGTCACCGACCACGCTGACATTGTTAAAGACTTTCCTGGCAGGCCGTGCGGCCTCTGCGAGGCTGGCCAACCTCGACCCCTGGTGGGGCTTCTGGGGGCTCCTGGTGAAACGCCCTGGATCTTTTCGGCTCTCCCGTGTTCCCAGCCAACTGCTGGAGGACGGCCAAACTCTGTGGCCGACGAGGTGGCCGAACCGCGAGCTGAGTTGTGCCAGCAAGCCCAGCCCGACGTGGTCAATGGTTGCAGCAGTCAGCCACGCGCAGAGGGGGGCTGGGGGGAGGGGGGAGGGCTTCTTGGAAGCACCCCTGCCTCTCAGAAGGCGCGGGCCTTGTCTACAGATGCAAGGCCGGCGCCTTCAAGGAAGCAGCCTCCGAGGAAGCCCTCCCCCCCTCCCTCCATCCCCGCTGTGCGCACCGCCCAAAGTGGGCTCCTTGCCAATGCCTGCCCCACACTGCAGCGCAACATGCCCCTGTGCCTCTTGCCCGTGCCCGCTCTGCGTGCCGAGCCCCGCCGCCGGCCGCAGATGCGCAGCCCGTCGGCTGTGGTGCTGTGCGGGCGGGGGCGGATCGAAGCCGATGCCCGCGGCTCGTCGCGCGCTCGGGAGCTCGGCTCTGGTCGGGCCGAGCGAAAGGGGGGGGGGACAGGGGAGGGGGGGGGGTACGAAATCTGCTGCATGCAGCTGGTCTCGGCCCCGCCGCCGGGCCCATTTCTCGAGACATGGCCGCCTCCGGCGTCGGGAGGCGCTGTGAAAATCAGCCACGTGAGCTGATTCTCAAACCCCCACTTTGCTATCCCCCCCTTTCGCCAGGCCCGATCTGAGGACTGGACATCGTGGGATGTGCCAGGCTTCGATCTCCGGTGCCGCCCCCTCGCTCCGTGCTGGGCTCTGCTCCGTCTGTCCGCCCTGCGTCTGGAGGCGGCAGGGTGGGGGTGCTCGGCGGAGGCGGGGGGGAGGTGATCGTCAAGAGAGGTGCCAAGGCCAGGCGCCCTCTGCCGCCCAGGGGCGGCTCCCTGTGGAGGTTTTTTGAGGCTCGATCGGCCCGCTGCCTGAGCGTGACGCCCCGTGGGTTGCCGGTAAGGCGGTCTACTCGTCCCATGTCCTGTGGCAGAAATTCGCCTTCACTTTCTGCAGTGAATGCGGATCTCGGGCCACAGCTCGCCCAGATACTCTGCGGGAGCCCTACTCTGTCGCTCCCCTGGGACCGCATGCCATCACGAAGCACCAGCTTGAGGTTTTGCAGCGTGTTTGCAAAGGCTTACCGCCCTCCAAGGCCGCCAAAAGCTGGGCCCCTAATTATTTTACCCTGACTATCAACCTCTGCATCCCTTGCACTCTGAAGTTTGGCTGGAAGCGGCGCCCGTGAAATCCTCCTCCTCCTCCCCCGACATCCTTTCGTCGTGAAGTCATATCACCGGACGGTTTCACCAATTTTCGGCCTCTTCATCCTGGTCGTTCTGGCCGTTTTCGTGTTTTGTTCCTGGGTCCCTGGAGGCTTCTTGACGCTTCGGCAGCCTCTTCAGGCCCTGGTGGATTTCGGGAGACCTCCAGAGGCCTCTGGGGGCCGCCGTCTTCCTCCTCCTCCTCCTCCTCATCATCTTCCGCCTTCCCTGCTTTTCCTTGTCCTCTGCCTTCCCTCCTCGTCCTCGTCCTCTCCATCCTCCACTGTTCACTGCAGCTCCTCCTCGTCCTGTCCTCCCCATCCTCCTCGTGCTCCTCGCCCTCCCCTCCGTCACTCCCCTCCCCCTCCCCCTCCTCCGCCTCCGGTGCGCGCCCTCCCTTCTCTTCTCCACCCCTGCCTCTCGCGCGTGCTGCTGCACGCCCGTCGTCCGCCTCCCTCGCCCTCTCCCCTTCCCTTCCCCCCGCGCGTCGGCCGCCGCCCGCTGTCGCCAGCATGCCCCCCCAGTTGCCCGCCCGCTCGCTCCCTCCGCGCAGTCGTTTTTCAGCCCAAGAGCTGGCTGCCTGGGGCCGACGCCCCCTGCGCTCCGACGTCTGGCGAGGCATGGCCGACAAGGGCAAGGGCGGCGACAAGGGAAAGGGCAAGGGCGCCAAGAGCAAGGGGAAAGGACCACGCGCCAACCATTACTACATCGAGGGAGGGGGGGGGGAGGAGCGGAGGAGCCAGGGTGAGCATGAAGACCACTCGCATCGGTTGAAGGGGGAGGCTGAGGGAGGCTGAGAGTGATGATGAGGGGACGGGGCGGGAGATGAGGATGAGAAGCATGAGGACCACACGCCAACCACTATTACATTGATGGGAAAGTGTATGATTTCAGCGAATGGAAGAACATCCACCCTGGTGGCCCAGCTTTCTTCGCAGTGTCCTACCAGCGCGACATATCCGCCGCCGTCCACGCCTATCATGCGTATCCGGAGAGGCTCACCCCCATCCTGGAGAAGTACGAGGTGAACATGGCAGACTTTGACAACAAGGAGCCCCGAGAGATCCTCACGCAGGACATGAACGCCCCGGCTTTCATCTTGCCGCCGAACTTCGATGCGCGCCGCGATGTGCCTACCTACGACTGGGACAAGCCATTCATGGGCAAGCTGCGGAAGAAGCTGTTCACCCCAGAGATGCAGCGGAAGATCCGCGCGGCCGACAAGGCTTTCGACGTCACGGCCGCGTGCCTCCTCGCCGTCCACGTCTTCGTCAGCTTCCCTGCCCTGTACCTCAATATCCTGCCTGGCCGACGGGGGCGGCCAAGGGGGGGGGATGACTAGGTGGGAGGGACATCATGGCCAGGGCCATGATGTCTCCCCCGATTTCATGGCTCTTCTTACTTCGAGGCGTCCCCAGCCCTCCCCTGGGCCGCGCACATGCCGCCGGCCATGATTTGCGCTCCCCCTCTTGGACGTCCCCCTCTTGGACGCCCCCGAGGCTGGCTCTGGATCGTCCTGCAGTTTCTCACGCGCACCTCGCTCGCGGGCGTCGGGCATTACTTCTGCCACCGGAAAGCGGGAGACGGGCAGTCCGGGTGGGGCCTCTATTTGTTCGACATGCAGTATGTGGGCGCCAGCACCGTGCTGTCCGACGGGCACGTCATGCTCCACCATTTGTACACGGAGACGCCAGCAGATGTCAAGCGGACGGTGTTCAATTTCATGATCACCATCCCGCGCCTCTTGCGGGTTCCGCTCTTCACCGCCCAGAAATTCGGCGAGTTCTTCACCGGCCACCTGCTCCGGCAGAAGGACTACGCGACTGCGTACGAGCACGGCTTCTGGATGCGGCTCAAGATCGGGTGCAAGAAGATGTGCAAGGGAAATCGCGGCATCCACTCGCTGATGGTTGCTGAGTTCTTGTGGGCCGCCCTCTGCAGCAAGATTCATCTCTGGTTCTTGCAATTTTTCTTTGTGGTTTGGATCAGCATCTTCCAGATTGTGGCGTCGCACGATTTCGAAGTGGTCAGAGAGGACCAGGAGTACAAGAATTTGGACTGGGGCATTTTCCAGATCCAGCACGCCCTCGACACGTACGTTACTGGCATCAAGTATATCGACATTTTCTTGTCGGCCGGGCTGAGCTGCCACCGGGCGCACCACGTACTCCCATACCAGAAGTCGGGCTTCGCCAACATCGTCTCGGAGGAGTGCGTGAAGGAGACATGCAAGGAGTTCGGGGTGGAGTGGGCGCCCGCACGCAACCTGATTCTCGATCGCTTCCTGCCGCTGATGTTCCACTACCTCACGGTACTCGAGGAAGAACACACGACACAAGTATAAATTTTTGGCGCTCCGCGCGCATTTCCTGGATCGGGGCTGGAATCCCTTCTCTGGAGAGCAGAGCGCGCCAAGGGTGGCGCCCGAGGCGCCGCCAGGGGGGCCCAGCGCCGATCCAAGATATCCGGGAGGAGCTTGGACAGTTTTACGTTTATGCAGTTCTGCTACCTCCAGGTGCCAGCGCAGATCCCCGCGCACCCGAAGGCCATCATCATTGGCGGGGGCGGCGTGAAGGGCTTCTTCCTCGAGCACCTGCAGCCCGATGTCATCATCAAGGGCCTCAAGGACGTGGCGCGGGGCTTCTCCGGCGCGTCCATCTGAGCTGCCATCAGCCAGCAGGTAAGGAGGTTCAGCGCCAATGGGCTCAGTCAGAGCGCTGGACCCTGAAGGATCCTGCAATGCTAGAGTTCTGCTAAGCTGGGTTTGGGAGCAGATCGTGGCCTTGGAGGTGGCCTTACATATTGGCCGAGCCAAGTTTGGGAAGCCCCCCGATAAGCTGCAGCGCAGTTATTTCTAAATCGGCTTTGCCCTGTCTGCGCTGAACCTGGCCAGTCCGCGCCCGATTTCAGCCCGAGCGCTCCACGGGGGACCCTGCCGTTCAAGAGCGACGACCATATCGTCCATGCCCCTGCGGTCTGTCAGAGGAAGTAAGCTACCGATGCCGCTACCCTTCCTACGTCTTTGCCATCTTGGGCCGCTTGGGAGGCCCTCGTTGTCACGGCTGGATTCGCCTAGAAGTGCTGGCCAGAGCGCACCCCGTGAGAGGTCCAGGGAGTGGCGGTCTCGGTGCCTTCTGTGAATAGTGGGGAGCCGACCCCAGCCCCCACAACAATGGATTTTAGATGTCAGCGCTTGGCAAATCTGGCGCATGTGCGTCAGTGTAGGTGCCCCGTAAGCGAGGCCACTGCCAGCTGCTACAGGGGGGGGGGCGCGCGCGCGGTCGAGTTGGTCTAAAGTTCCTCATGGCGGTGGTCGGTTTTCATGCGTTCCTTCTGGCAGGGCGCTCCAGGAAGGGGCACCGCCCTCGAGGCATCACAGACTGGCCTCGCTTCCTCGGCGGGATTGCTGGCGCAGTGGGGCGGCTCCGCCAGCGGAGGCCTCAGCGGAGGCAGAGCCGTGCGTCCCAGGAAGAGTGGAAGGTGGTGTTTCTCGGAGGCTGCCACAAGGGTTCGTCGGACTCCTCCTCCTCCTCCTCCTCCTCCTCCTCCTCCCTCCTCCTCCTCCTCCTCCTCCTCCTCCTCCTCCTCCCTCCTCCTCCTCCCCCCTTCCCCCTTCCCCCTCCTCCTCCTCCTCCTCCTCCTCCTCCTCCTCCTCCTCCTCACTACACTGTACACAACCATGGGATTGGCCACGAGCAACTTCTTCGTACTGATGCTACCCTCCGTTAAGATATTCAGGCGGCTCATCTTGATCCGCTCTCGGTCACGGTCGTTGTCCACGGTGACTTCATTTTTTCGCACTCGTCTCCGCTCCTACTTCATCGGCCTGGTTGTCGTCTGGGCCCTGGGCGAGGGCAACATGCACACACAGCGAGATGGATCAATATGCTCCCCCTTCTCACCGAGGTCTCCTCGGACGAGCCCACACTACGACGCCTGCGCTCACTCTGTCGCCGTCATTGACCGCATGTGGATCAGCTTCCAAGGCTGGGCTCTTTGTCAGGTGCTGGCAGTTCCTCGTGTCATTGGGCTCCCTGAGGCACTAGCGGAGTCAGAGGTCAGCGATCACGCCGCTCACACCTGTTCCTTCTCAACCTGATCCACCAAGCCTGAGGAGTACCAGAAGATCCCGAGACACATCTTCGAGTCCGCGGCGTTCCGCGAATTGCTTGACACGGTCACCTCGCAGCTGGACTTTGCCTCACGCTCTCCCCCGCGTCAAATCGAGCTCTACAAGTGGGCTGTGAAGGAGGTGGCGCGAGAGGTGCGCGATCGGTTTCTCTGGTCTGACCCTGCGGATTTGGGCTCTCAACTTCTTCTGTCACGGCAGATATCCCGCGCTGTGTGGCGCAATGATCTACGCCTTGCTGTTCGTCTTCGTGGTGCTCACCACTCTGCGGCGGAGTTCTTGTCTATCGCCTTTGGCTCTGTCTCCTTGGTCCATGCGCCGTCTTTTTCAAAGCTGGAGTGAAGCGGTTCAATTGCGTCACGCCGAGTTTCGCCGACGGCAACTTGAGGCTGAGATTGCGGGCAAGCGCCCTTCACAGCAATTGAAACATCAGCTTCAAGCGCTGGAGCGGCGCGCAGCTATCTGGTCCTCTCTGTCTAAGAGCCTAGTTCTTCAGGGCATGAAGACCTCAAACGAAGATGGTAAAGCGATCTCAGATAAACTGCACATGCACGAGGCGCTTATCGAGCACTGGGAACCCTTTTTCACGGCAAATCCCATCGACGAGCCGATGTCTCGTGGCTACTTGGGGCAGTACGTGAAGCCGATCAACTTCAGCACCGCCCCGCCCCCGTCCTCTGCGCTTCTGCGGTCAGTGGCTAAAAGATTTCGTCATTCGGAGCCTGGGCTCGACGGCATCCCTTACTCGGCTTGGTCGTCGTCGAACCTTGGCCTATCCATTCTCTCTAGTGCTATGATGTGGATCCTGTCTGGACAGGCCTTATTCAAGTCTTCGAACGACACTCTCTAAGTATGGCTTCCGGAGGGAGATGAGCCTGCTGATGCTGTCGCCGCTGGATGTACCAGATAACCTTCATCGGTTCGCGTCTTAGGCCTACGGAACACCGACTTGAAGATCATCGCCGCGACGATCAATGTTCGCTTCAGTACATTACTACGAGACTGGGCGATTCGTTCGCAGCGAGGGTTCGTCCCGAACAGGAACTTCGGCGTCAACATCTTAAAGCTTGACACGGCAAGCAGGGTGCGCTCCAATTCGCCGTATGCCGCGGCTGACATCCCCCTGCTGGTCGCCGTCGACTTTGGAGCTGCCTTCCCCCGCCTGTCGCAGCAGTTCATGTACTTGGTTCTTGAGCCGATGCGTGTTCCGCCTGCGTTCATGTCTGTCATTGATCAGCTCTACTTGGAGTTAGAGGCGTTTGCAATGGTTCAGAATATACTGACGCATGCTTGGTGGGTTTCCTCGGGGATTGTGCAAGGCTGCTCGCTGAGCGGCTCACTTGACGCGGCGACAGCTGCACCATTCTTAGTGGACCTTCAGTGCAACCTCGAAGCACCTCGACAAGGCTTGGCGCGGGCGTTCTCTCGCGATCTTTCATGCGCGAGGCGGAGAAGATGGCGACGCTCCGCTTAAGGAGAGACAAGTGCAACTTGGTCCCTCTCCACAAGCCCGTCTCGGTGGATGTGGCGCGAGAGGTGAAAGATGCCCTGGGCCGTCGCGTCCCCTTCTTCAGCTGCGTCAGCATTGTCGAGTCCCTGAAGTACTTAGGTCTGATTCTTGGCCCCGCTGCTGACGTTGACGCATGCTGGGGGGCGCCTGCCATGGAGGCTCATGCTCGATCGAAGCTGTTCGGTCACAGCCATCTCCCTGTCTCGCGACTTCCAGGTCGCCGCAACACCCGCATCACGACGGTCCTGTCGTACGTTGCGCAGTTTCGGCCGATGCCTGGCTGGCTTATCCAGAGTGAGCTGGCGGCACTTTCGCGTGCCTTCCATCTGCCTCCGGGGGCGTTCTCTATGCCCACCTGGCTGCACCTACGTTCAGCAGGTGGTCCGACCATCTCGTCATGGTTGGCGCTTAGCACGGCTTCGTTACTTCGCGCTGCCTACCGCGCCCTCCCCGAGTTCGAGCGGCTATGCCACTGGCTTCACATGCAGCATCATCTACTTGGTGATCTCAAGTCACTGGCTCAGACTGCCACCTCTCGCCCCTACCCAGGACATTGGAAGAGTGAAGCGTTTGTTGAGGCGCTCTTCAATTTCAAGTCGGGCAAGGTGGCATCATCGGTCTACTTGCCTGCGCTCTTGATGGCGGCCCGTCACGCTGCAGAGGAGTGGCTTGCAGCTCATCCGTCTGGCGCTGGCCTGCAGAGGTCTATCACGGCTGCTGCGCGGAAAGTGATTTCCCCCTACCCGCTTTGGAACTCGTTCGTGGCACGATTGTCTCTGGCGTTTCCTGATATGTACTCCAATGGCGTTTCTAAAATTCCTGCCTCCAGGTGGTCGGCGTTATCCAGGTGCGTACGCTCATGCACTACATCGTGGTCGATGGCCTACCTCAAGACCCTGGCCAACGGCTGGGCTACGACGACCCGCGTCCTTGGCAGTAGAGGAAGGCTGTCGTTCAGATTTGGCTGCGTCGGCGAGGTGGATCAGGTCAAGCGCTACCTCAGCTGCCCTCGCTCCCGCTCGCTCATGGAAGGCGCCCTGGGATTCTCGAGGCCCGCGCACCCCTTGGGCAGATTGGGGCTGTTCGGCTCGGCTGTGGATCTCAGTCACGTTGTCTTCGACGTCGCCGCGCTGCACTTCGCCTGCCATGCAGCTTCCCGCGCGGCACCCCTCGGCGCGTGGACGGAGGGCTTTGCCCGCCCCCACGTGCTGGCTGCTATTCGGGTGGTTTCGCTCGGAGCTCGGCGCCCTGACCAGCTCCCACATCGCCACCTTCGTCGCCGCCTGGCTGCTCGCGCGCCTCGAGCATGTTCTCGAGCTCCTCTACTTCTACATCGTCTTCATGGTCGTCATCTTCTGCCAGTGCATCCACTATTTCCTGCGCTTCTTCGTCGTGCGAATCGTGCCCGTCGCCGTCCACGCTGGTTGCTGCGTTTGAACTCGACGACCTGATCGGCCCGCTGGCGGCAACGCATGATCGCAGTGACGAGGTTAGGATTCTGAGCAGTTCTGTCGCTGAAAACCAGAATGGGGCGCTATCATCCTTGTCTGAGCCTGGAGTGCCCCTACCTTCTTTCTCGCAAGATGCTGGCGTCAGGGGCTGTGACATCGAGCCGGGAGCTCCCGACCAGGCTCCGCTTCGAGTCCCAGATGACGCACCGCGTCTTCGCCCCGACCATCGCATCCCTCGCCAAGATGCGGAGCGTCTACGCCGAGAGCTCACGAATCGCGCAACCCTGTGGGCGGGCTCTTGGTTACCATCCGTCTACTATGCCGAGCCCCAGAACGATTCCAACGCGTGGCTGGACTGGTGCGTGGACTACGTCTTTGGCATCTGTCATTACCGTGGATTTGTTCCTTTTTTAGCCAACCGCGCTACGGAGTCGCTACTTGCAATGAAAGGTGCTGCGGAAGAGATTTGCTTGGCTGGATGGTATGGGCCAGCTATCAACCGAGAGCGTCTTCCCCGACATTTTATTCAGCGTATCCCCTTCAACGACCCTGCAGTGCTCCACTCCTTCGGCAACCTCCAGCAACACCTGCGGATGCTCGACTGGCGCCCTGATCCCTCGCGCATGGACTTGCCCAACCGTACCAGGTTCCTTCACTTGGTCGCTGAAGATGGGTCGTGCTGGGCGACGCCGAGGCCGCGTTCCCCGCCAGCGCCGAACCCGCTCATCTGGTTCGACAACTTCACGCTTAAGCACATGGGCGTGGATCCGGCCCATCCTAAGATCCGATCGATCCCTTCGCCTGACGACCCCGACGTCCACGCGGCCAACGAAAGCGATGCCCCGATGCCGCCAGAGTGCCCTTCACCCACGGACGAGGACCTTCGCCTCTTGGACGAGATGAATGACCAAGAGGAGGCCTTTGGCGCAGGCGCTCCGCCGCCTTTCGACAGCGACTTCATGAGCGACGATGAGTTCGAGTACCTTTTTGGTGACGAGCCGAAGCCGCCTGAAGCTGGGCAAATTCAGCTTCTGTCGTCGGCGAGGTGCTTCCAAGCGTGGCCTTCTGGCAGCTCATCGGGGCCGCCACCTCCTGGCTGGCGCGGATGTTCTGGCCTGGACGAACCCTGCGACGTCGACTGCTACGGCTGCATTTCCTACGTCTGGAAGCACCAGCTCAGCTCCGCCCGCGGCGCTGCCTGGCGGTAATCTTTCCGATTCGCTTCCTCCTGCAGCCCCTCGTCATGAGGTGCGGCCTCTTCCATCCGATAGATCTGGCCCTCCTGAAGAACGGTCCCATGGACATCGCCCTCCTGTTGCTCCGTGTGCTGATTGGCCTCCTCTTCGTGATAGATCTGCCCTCCCCGAAGCGCGGCCTTCTGGACCTCTGCAACCTGCTGCCTATGCTGCTGGGCGTGGTGTTGTGTTGGGTCCCACGGCTGCTAACACTGGGCCGCGGGTGTTGGGTCTGCCTGCCTCCGTCGTGTCCTCCCGCCCTGCTGTCGACGGCCCTGCCCGGAACGTCAGCGACGCCCAGTCTGACTTCGAGGGCCCGACATACTTGCAGACGCTCTACGGCATGGAGATGCATGACGACGAGCGCGCCCCTGACGACGAGGCGGACGTTCTCCTTGAAGAGCCTGCTGACGAGCCGGCTGTGGTACCCTCCGGCACTGACCTCGCTGACCCGCTCTTCTTGGAGATGATGCCCTTACTGGAGGCGCACCCCTCCAATGGAAGCGTCGAGACTCAGACGAATATGACCTACAACGGTGGCAACCTGTCCGCGGTCTTCCCCGACTACATCCCCAGCGAGAACTACGACGACGGCGCCGTCCTCGGCGACCATTCCCTCGTCGACCTGGACGCCGACGCCGTGCCTGCGAGGGGGGCCGTCATCGACCACCACGGCGCGAACCCTCCGCTCTCCAAGTACCACCGCGAGATTGTTGCTGGGCTAATCGCGCATCCTGAAGCACTTCCTCATGCTACCGATGTTCGTGAAGATGTGGAGGGAATGACCGACGCTCATGGAGGACTTGGTGGGGACATGGGTAATGCTGTGGATGCGCCGCCGCGCCGCGAACCTGCTCCTTGTGCTCAACCGAACATGTCTCATGGCCTACAGACGGCGAGCGAGCGCGCGGCCATTGGCGCGCTGTCAGGATTGATGTCGCGCACCTCTCTCGCCAAGGAGTTGATCCGCGCCCGATCCCGTCGGCGTCATCAGCGACAACCCCTGTGGCGGCGAGCGCTTTGGCATAAGCCTCCGCAGAGGCTCCTGTACATCATGAAGAGATCTCCGAACAGAAGATCGAGTATGCGATGCGTACCCTGGACATCTGGTGCCCCGTGATCCCTGTGGACAAGAAGGAGATGATTCGATGGATGCTACCCCGCCCTGCGTGCCTCCTGGGGCGCGTGATGAGCTGCCATCTGATGCGGAACGAGAGCTCCTCCCTGGCCTTGGTGTTCAGGAACTCTTGGGTGATTGGCCTGTCTCCCTCGAGCTCTTCGCGGGCGAGGACGCGATGCTGCGCGACATAGAGGACGAGGACGACCCTGCGCTCGGCAGCCAGGCACTCGCTGACGCCCCGCTCCAGTCGGGTGTTCTACCTCTTCCTGCTGAAGGTCTCGCTGGTACCTCCGCGGCTGGCGAGGGTGCCTTCCCAGACCACGCGCCCTTCGACTCCGTGGCGCAGGTGGCGTTTGGCGGTGACGACGACGCTTTTCTTTTTTGCGGTTTTCCCCGGCTACGACCCTGTTGACAACGTCGTCGGCGAAGGAGACGGGATCATGATGAACTGCGACGGCGTCGCCATCTCGGACCTCGCGTCCGTCGGGGACGCCCTTCCCGACCTCACTCCGAGCTACCCCGAGCAGCTCGACAACGCTGCCGACAGCTTCGTCGGGTTTTTCGCGGACGCCAGCGGATCCCTGGACTTCTACAACGCGAGCCTGAGAGGCTCGGCGCAGGCGCGCCCGCGGCGTCCATAGCCGGGGACAGACCATGGCCAGGGACGCTCGTTCCTCCTCGTCCTCCTCGTCCTCCTCCTCCTCCTCCTCCTCCTTCTCCTCCTCCTCCTCCTCCTCCTCGTCCTCCAAGGTTGGCTTCGCCAGTCCTGGGCCCCCCCCCAGCCCGACCGGAGCCCCCCCCGGCTCGAGCCGAGGCGCCCCGGCAGCCGTCGAACTTACTGTTTTCAAGCCCGACCTTCTCGCCGTTCCCGAGTATCTCAGGGTTGCACAAGGACTTCACGGTCTGAGCGTGCTCCGCCGCCTGCGGCTTCCTCCCCCCCCTCCGCGCCTTTCCTGTTCCTGTTCCTGTTGTGCCTGATTTGGCCCCGAAGCGTCCCCCTCGCCGCGGCAAAACAGGTTTCTCAGGGTTTTCGGAGCTGGCCGTGTAACCGCGATCCCATGGACACGGGCCCGCGACACGCAGCGGGTGGAGAGTGGCCGTGTGTACCCACGGGGTCGCGGTCGAAGAATCCAGACCGCGAGGGTATGGACAGTCGTCGTTCGTGGGCCCCCATC